AGCGCAGATTAAAAAAAAAAAAAAGGAATAAAAAAAAAAAAAAAAAGGGTCAGCAAACAAAATAAAACAGTGGGATAGGTTGCAAGGGGTGGGGGGATGGGGTTGCTGTTGTATCAGTTTCCCTGCTGCAGAGCCTCATCTCTGCCTGAGCTGGTAGGTCACACCACAGGATTGGTGTTGGAGAGTTCCATACTTTAGGTCTTGGGGGACTTCAGCTTACCTTCTTTTGGCAAGACCAGGATAAGGGGAGCGTAATCCCGGATCTCTCAGCACCTTTCAATACCATTGACAATGGTAACTCTGGGCTTTTTGTAAGGATTGGGAGTGTGGGTCACTGTGCTGCAGGATTTCTCCTATTTCCTGAGTGGCCATCTTCAGTCACTGGGAGAGGGGAAGATGTCAAATTCTTTTAGTGTGGGGTGCCATGGGGCTTGGCCCTTTCTCTCCTGCTGTTTTTAACACCTGCATAAAGTTGCTGGGAGAAGTCATCCATTAGCTATGAAAACGATACCCAGTTATTCATCTCCATCCTAAAACAGACAGGAAATGCAATGGAGGACTTGAAATTAGTACTGGAGACTCTTAGGGGCTGAACAGGAAAAAAACAGCCACTAGCTAAATAGAGGGGCTGGGGAAGCCAACTAAGTTTAGACCAGTGTTTCTCAGCGTTGGCAACTTTAAGATGGGTGGACTTCAACTCCCGGAATTCCCCAGCCAACCTTGCTGGCTGGGGAATTCTGGGAGTTGACATCCACCCATCTTAAAGTTGCCAACGCTGAGAAACACTGGTTTAGACAGTTCATTTTTAGCTCAGGACAAAGTGGCGCTCCCTCAAACAAACAAAGCTGGCTGTCATGGCCTCAGGGCCAGGCTCCGAGAGGTGGGTGGATCAGGTCCTGCCAGGTGTTATATCAGCAGAGTGAGCAACAGGATACCCTTCCTTGGCCAACATGGGTTCAAGAAGCAGGGAAGAACACCCCTCCCCCACAACCTGAAAGTCCTACACGCTGTCAAAATAAGTCACTCATGAGTAAACAGCAACTAGCTGATTCTCCAAGCAAGCCTGGTGCTTCAATATTGGCAACTGCTGAGTGAGAGGAGCTTCAGCGGCACGCACTTGGCAGGGAGAGGATTTAAACTGCTCATGGTTGTTGTTCAGTTGTTAAGTTGTGTTTGACTCTTCGTGACCCCATGAACCATATTGCGCCAGGCCTTCCTGTCCTTCACTG